TGGTTGTCCAGGTGTTGTTTACTTCCATAGCTTTCAACTCTTCATGCATAGTCAATCTCCATTCAGGAAACTTCACTGCTTGGTGATAGTATTGAGGCTCAACCTGAAAGGATACACTCAGCACAAACTTTTTGTGAGAATTAGAAAGCCCATGATAAGATATTTAGTTAGAGATTGGATAAGATCTGAAAGTTGAAGCATGAGTAGGAGAGCCAGCAAGTAAATTGCAGTGATAATCCTTCAAGTAATTAGGTGGATGAATTACTCGGGTAGATTTTCGAAGAACAACATCATTAGATGTAGAAGGAATAATTACTGGAATATCATCTACTGGAGTAGGAGCTGTTGAAGTAGAAAGAGCACCAGAGGGAGAAACAATTGGACCCGATGAAGAAACAATGGGAAAATTAGTATCAGGACAATCAAGGGGAAGAGCAGCAGGAACATTAGAAAGAACAGGTGGATCATGAACATGTAAAGAAGCAAAATCTGAAATAAAATGAGCTTGTAATGAAGAATGTGGTAGAACCAAATTTGGAAATGGATCAGTAACTTGATCTGAACTAGTAATAGCATGAAAAGGAAACACTTCCTCATGAAACACTGCATCTCGTGAAAGAAAAACTTGTTTAGTCTCCACATCATAGAATTTATAACCTTTCACACCAGCTGGATAACCAAGGAAATCACAAACTCGAGCACGAGGTTGAAATTTGGTTCGATGAGCAGCTAAAGTGGAAACAAATGCTAAATAGCCAAAAACTCGAAAATGAGTGTAATCAGGGGCTGTTTTGTATAACAAATGAAAAGGTGTGTTGTGCCTCAAAAGTGGAGAAGGAGTTCTGTTGATTAAGAAAACCGCAGTAAGAACACAATCTGTTCAAAAAGAAACTGGAATCTTGGATTGAAAAAACAATGACTGAGCCACATTCAAGAGGTGTTGATGTTTTTGCTCCACAACTGAGTTTTGCTGGGGCCGGTCAACACATGAAAACTGATGCAAAACTCTCTTATCTTGGAAAAATTCAGCAAAAGATAACTCATGTGCATTATCAGATCGAAACATCTTGATTTTGGCATTAAACTGAGTTGAAACCACGTTGAAAAACTTTGCTACCACAGAGACAGCATCAGATTTATTCCTCAATAAATAAACCCAAGTAAAACGAGTGCAATCATCAACAAGAGTCAAGAAAAATCGGTGACCAGTATAAGAAACAATTTGATATGGCCCCCAAATATCACAGTGCACAAGATCAAAAGGAGATTTGGACAAATGATTATTAGATTCAAGAGACAGCCTTTTNGGTGACCAGTATAAGAAACAATTTGATATGGCCCCCAAATATCACAGTGCACAAGATCAAAAGGAGATTTGGACAAATGATTATTAGATTCAAAAGACAGCCTTTTTTGCTTAGCAAGAGGACAAATATAACAAGGATCCGACTTATGTAATCTAGTTACATCACATTTCAACTGATCTTTCAAAGAATCAAGTCTCTTAAAGGAAATGTGTCCTAGCCTATTATGCCAAATATGAGCGGAAACATTATTGACAAAAGCATTGGAAATAGAATTCAAACACTGAACATTAAGAACATAGAGATCTTGGACTTTGTCACCCCTGCCAATCATCCTCTTGGTTGAAAGATCTTGGATAACAAAGCAGTCAGGAAGGAAACGCATTGTAAGGCTAGACCCAGTAACTAAAGCACTGATTGAGATCAAGTTGAATTTGAATTGAGGGACAAACAATGCATCTTTAAGCACAAGGTCAGCAGTCAGTTTAACATCACCAGCAAAATGGACCAAAATCTGAGAATGATTTGGCAAAGTAACTATGGTGTGATGAATAGAATGCAAAGAAACAAAGGCATTGGCTTGTGAACAAATATGTCGAGTAGCTCCTGAGTCTACAATCTAGAACTGATTGGATGAAATTGGAGGACTCAAAGACACAAAGAAGCAAATACCTGCGAGGCAGTTGGTTTGAGAAGGATCAGGAGTATTGGTGACCTTTGCTGAGTTACTCAAATGTGTAGAAAGTATGGACACTAATTGTTGATATTGATTGGAGTTCAGATTTTGAACAAAACCTCCAAACGAATTAGACTGATCTGGTCTATCATCAGAAGTAGAAACTTGATGAGTAGCAACACTAGAATTGTTGTTGGATCTGAATTTATATCCAGAAGGATATCCATGGATCTTGTAGCAATGATCCATAGTATGTCCAAGAATCTTGCAATGTGTATAATAAGGTCTGTCTCTTTTCTGATTCTTAGAAGCACTGAAAGTAAAATTTTGAGAATTTTGAGAATTTTGAGAACTAGATCCACTANTAGCAACACTAGAATTGTTGTTGGATCTGAATTTATATCCAGGAGGATATCCATGGATCTTGTAGCAATGATCCATAGTATGTCCAAGAATCTTGCAATGTGTGTAATAAGGTCTGTCTCTTTTCTGATTCTTAGAAGCACTGAAAGTAAAATTTTGAGAATTTTGAGAACTAGATCCACTAGATTTAGCAACATTTGTTTTAATAGCAAAGGCCAGTGTGCCAGTAGAATTGCTCGAATTAAAGTAAGAATTATTAGTCCTCCTTTGTTGTTCCTCTTGAACAATCGGAGAGAAAACACGATTAATGGAAGGCATCGGATCCATGAGAAACAATTNTTGTTCCTCTTGAACAATCGGAGAGAAAACACGATTAATGGAAGGCATCGGATCCATGAGAAGCAACTGACCACGAACTTGAGAGAAAGAATCATCAAGTCCCATTAAGAAGGACATTATGTACTCCATTTGATGATGATTGTTAAGATTTTTAACTCCACCACAAGAACACTTTCCATAAGAACAATTAGGCCAGTAATTACTCAGTTCTTCCCATATAGTTTTTAGCTTTGTGAAGGAAATGCTAACAGAACTCTATTCATGACACAAATTCATCAATTCATGTTTAAGCTGAAAAATTCTAAGTCCGTTCCTCTGTTGAAAACGATCCCTAAGATCTAGCCAAATCTCACGTGCAGAAACAGTAAAAATAATACTTCTAGAAATTTCCCTTGAAACCGAATTCAAGATCCAAGATATAACAATATTATTATTGCGAATCCAGGAGTTGAACAGATTTTCATCAGTACCTTGAGACTCAGGAATGAAACCATCAACAAATCCCAATTTGTTCTTCACAGATAGGGCAATTAACATCGCGCGACTCCAATTGGTATAATTCTCACCAGTGAGCAACTACGAGACGAGCACTTGTCCCGGACTATCAGAATGATAAAGATAGTAAGGATTTGAAGGTTCTTCAATGGCGGAATGATTCGAATTGGTACGTTCTCCATAATTGGAATCACTCATCGAGGGAAGAGTCGCCATATCGAAGAGAACAAGAAAAATCAACGAAGGAAGAAGAAAACAAGCAAATTTGCAGCGGATCAAATCTGCTCTGATACCATATTAAGCTCGAGAAGAATAAGAAGAAGAAGAAGAAAAAAAAAACAGAAGAAGAGTGAAGAAGGAAATGATTTTCATTCATTCATCGAACAATTACAAAAGAGGAGAAAACTAATATAAATAGTAGGGAAGAAAAATTACAATCTGTCTACTCTGTACAACCAATGAACAAATGACATCTGTACAAGTCTAACAAACTCTAATCTACAATATTACACCCTAATAAATATAAATAAAATATAAAAAATTAAAATTTCATTCACAACTATGAGAAACTATTTAATTTTTAAATAAATATTGATTATAAAGTCTTAAAATGACAATTATATATTATAAATATTATTCTAGTTTGATATGTTTCTTTAGGCCTCAGTCAGTACTTTCAAAATAAAATTTTGAGTAATAATAAGTAAGAAAATATAAGTAAGAACGCGAATTAGTCTTGAATTTGTGAATTTTGTAAAATGAGAGCATGAATTCACGGAAATTTTGTTGCCATAGTTCGAAACAGTGGGAGAGCGTTAGGAGTTTAGAAGGATTATATGACTAAGGGTTGAAGAACTGTACGGAGGCACTCTGATCCTTAATCAATAAGAGGAATGTAGTGAATGAGTTCATTGGGATTGAATGATTCACTTTAGATCATACTAGAGTTATCTCATCTAGCATTAAACCGCTGTGGGTCTTTATTCTAATTAGCTAAGCTCTTTGATCTGGTATCAATCTTTANAAGAGGAATGTAGTGAATGAGTTCATTGGGATTGAATGATTCACTTTAGATCATACCAGAGTTATCTCATCTAGCATTAAACCGCTGTGGGTCTTTATTCTAATTAGCTAAGCTCTTTGATCTGGTATCAATCTTTATGAATCATGAGGACAGATAGCTCTGATTTATGCAATCTATCCTACTTGGTTTATCTCAACAATTTGACAATCCTCATCTTTTCATAAGACAGATCTACAGCTGAGCTGGCTGCTCGATACCTAAATTAGTATATAGCTCATCACAAGTTAATTGGTTGGGGATACACTTCTCACTGCTCGGCTTGAGCTAGGAGCAGTTTGCACACTTGTTTGCCTGTTCAGCATCATGAATCTTACAGCCTTCGATGTTAGCTGGTCAAGGTTTTTCCCTCGCTGACCTGAGGTACTCTGGGCAGTTGCATCTGTTCATTGCCACTAGTCAGGCTTAGTTCACAAGGTCTTGGACAGGTACCATACTATTATGGGGCGTCATTCTGAGCTCATTGAACAACTTTGTTATTGTTTTCATTTCCTTTGCTTTTCAGAGGTCAAATTGAATAAGGCTTTCTTTTTTCTTCTCAATGCTTTCAACAATCAGACTACTTTATCTGCAGTTCCACCCAAAAAAATGAATGATACAATAAAAATAATTTGTCTGTGCAACATATCTACTTTCACTTAATAAAAACCAATAAAATGCAAAATCGTTTTAAGTGCTTTATCCTTCTTCTGTGTTGATATTGAGGCAGTGCTATTTTTTTTATGAAAATGCTGCCTTATTCAGGAGATGATTACAAGATCAAGGTGTGGAATTACAAGTTGCATAGGTGTTTGTTTACCCTTCTTGGACATCTAGACTACATTCGTACGGTTCAATTTCACCATGAGTACCTTGGATTGTTAGTGCGAGTGATGATCAGACTATCAGGATATGGAATTGGCAGTCTCGTACTTGTATTTCTGTGTTGACTGGACACAACCATTATGTGATGTGTGCCTTGTTCCATCACAAAGACGACCTGGTTGTTTCTGCTTCCTTGGATCAAACTGTTCGTGTTTGGGATATTGGTGCTCTGAGGAAGAAAACAGTATCCCCTGCTGATGACTTCCTTCAGTTGAGTCAGATGAACACGGATTTCTTTGGTGGAGTTGACGCCATTGTTAAGTATGTCTTAGAGGGCCATGACCGAGGAGTCAACTGGGCCTCATTTCATCCCACTCTTCCTCTAATTGTTTCTGGAGCAGACGATCGCCAACTGAAAGTATGGCGAATGAATGGTATGCTTGCAAAGATCTTGTCTTCTTCTTTTCCTCAAGCTCTATTTTTTCTCTCACCTTATAGTACTAGTTTGCCCTTAAGATATAAGTTACTAGTTCAGATTGACTGAGCAACAGTATGGGTCCAACTGGAGACATGCAATCGGTTTGAAATGGTAGAGAAGAGTTGCATTCCCCCACCAAGGATGACAGGCAATCAATTTTTTTAATGCATGATATGGTGCACCTCTTTGACTAGATTATATTGATATACGAAACAATTTATACTCATTCCCAAAAATAAGCTTCAATTTTAATTGGTGGAAAACACTAACCAATTTTAGGACAATTGATGCAATACAGTAGTTTAAGAGCATCTTTTATTGGCACTCAAGCTTTCTGTGTCATATATCCTTCTGTTTTTTTTGTTGTTTAAATTATCTATTGTTTCTCACAAATAGACAACTACATTGAGAATTGCTGAAAATGATCAAATGTTAGATCCCATTTAAATGACGTATTCTAGTCAGAAGCCTCACGCCACTTTAATAAACTTATAATTGGATATTTGAGTTTGATGTCATGGTGTTACAAGTCATGGCATTAGCATTGGTGGTTTCTATATCATTATCTTCGTGGGAGATGAAGACAGAGGAAGTTGATTGTATTTTATGTTGTTGTCTTATTCAAAAATAAAAAAAGAAAAAGGTGATGGTAACTAGCAGCACGATCCATCGCCAAGGAGAGTGGTGTTCTTTTTCTTCCTTTTTCTCTGTTTTTCTGTTGGGGGATGTACACTGTATAATGACCAGTTGCATCAGTAATGAGCTCACAGCCGTGCTATCTAAGCTGTGATCCTTTGTTATTTTCTATGTTTAGAAGCATTTCTTTGTCTGTTTTTGGTGGTTTGCCTCTTAGTTTTCATTTGCATGTTCTTGATCTACCAACACTCAGTTGCATTTCTTTTGTTTTCTTCCCCTCCTTTCCCTTCTTTTGGAAACAGGAACCCTTTCTTAATAAAAGCACTTTAAAATTAGTTATCCGAATGCTCTGTAGGCCATTAAACTATTCAAGATCACCTTGCTTAATCGGCTAAAAACCAGAAGTAAGAATATTCTCTTGAATAATATCCAAGAAACAAACATTATGTAGTTTCGGCTGTTTTTTATTACACATTTCTTTTGCCATTTTAAGGTGGTAGAAATTTCAAGAATGGAACTACTTAATGGGGTTCAATCGACATTATTTTCAGATACAAAAGCTTGGGAAGTAGACACCTTGAGAGGGCACATGAACAATGTTTCATGTGTTTTTTTTCATCCAAGGCAGGATCTAATCATGTCTAATTCAGAAGATAAAAGTATTCGTGTGTGGGATGCTACAAAAAGGACTGGCCTTCAAACTTTTTGTAGGGAGCATGATAGGTTTTGGATTCTTACGGCTCATCCTGAGCTGAACCTTCTGGCAGCTGGTCATGATAGTGGCATGATAGTTTTCAAGTTGCAGAGAGAGTGTCCTGCTTTCTCTGTGAGTGGTGATTCTGTTTATTATGTGAAAGACCGTTTTCTGCGCTTCTATGAGTACTCAAGTCAGAAAGACACTCAAGTAATACCAATCCGTAGGCCTGGTTCCAATAGCTTGAATCAAAGCCCTAGAACTCTTTCTTATAGCCCTACTGAGAATGCTGTTTTGATCTGTTTGGATGGAGATGGAGGATATTATGAACTTCATATTGTTCCTAAAGACAGTTTTGGTAGAGTTGACACTGTTCAAGAGGCCAAAAGAGGTCCTGGAGGATCAGCAATTTTCGTGGCTCGAAATAGGTTTGCTGTGCTTGAGAAGAGCAGCAACCAAATTTTAGTCAAGAACCTTAAAAATGAGATTGTCAAGAAGAGCTCACTCCCTGTTGTTGCCGATGAAATATTCTATGCTGGTACTGGAAATTTGCTATGCAAGGACAGAGGACAAAGTAGTCATTTTTGAACTCCAACAGAGGATTGTCCTGGGGGATCTTCAAACTTCTACGATTAGGTATGTTATTTGGTCAAGTGACATGGAAAAGTGTTGCTCTGCTAAGCAAACATTCTATAAGTATAGCTGATAAAAAACTTGTGCACCGTTGCACTCTTCATGAGACCATTCGTGTCAAGAGTGGAGCCTGGGATGATAATGGTGTCTTCATATATACGACCCTGACGCACATTAAATACTGCCTTCCTAACGGGGACAGTGGAATCATTAGAACCCTTGATGTCCCAGTATACATCACTAAGATATTTGGAAATACAATCTTTTGCTTGGACCGAGATGGGAAAAACCGTCCCATTATTATCGACTCCACTGAATATATGTTCAAGCTGTCTCTGCTGAGGAAGAGATTTGACCAGGTTATGAACATGATCAGGAGCTCGGAGCTCTGTGGACAAGCTATGATTGCATATCTCCAGCAAAAAGGTTTTCCCGAAGTTGCACTGCATTTTGTAAAGGATGAGCGAACTCGGTTTAACTTGGCACTAGAAAGTGGGTACATTCAAATAGCCGTTGCTTCTGCAAAGGNAAGCTGTCTCTGCTGAGGAAGAGATTTGACCAGGTTATGAACATGATCAGGAGCTCGGAGCTCTGTGGACAAGCTATGATTGCATATCTCCAGCAAAAAGGTTTTCCCGAAGTTGCACTGCATTTTGTAAAGGATGAGCGAACTCGGTTTAACTTGGCACTAGAAAGTGGGAACATTCAAATAGCTGTTGCTTCTGCAAAAGAAATTGATGAGAAAGATCACTGGTATAGGCTGGGGGTGGAGGCCCTTCGTCAGGGTAATTCAGGTATTGTAGAATATGCATACCAGAGAACAAAGAACTTTGAGCGTCTATCTTTCTTTATCTGATCACCGGAAATTTGGACAAATTGTCCAAAATGATGAAAATTGCAGAGGTTAAGAATGATGTTATGGGTCAGTTCCATGATGCTTTGTACCTTNGAAATTGATGAGAAAGATCACTGGTATAGGCTGGGGGTGGAGGCCCTTCGTCAGGGTAATTCAGGTATTGTAGAATATGCATACCAGAGAACAAAGAACTTTGAGCGTCTATCTTTTCTTTATCTGATCACCGGAAATTTGGACAAATTGTCCAAAATGATGAAAATTGCAGAGGTTAAGAATGATGTTATGGGTCAGTTCCATGATGCTTTGTACCTTGGTGATATCCGGGAGCGTATTAAGATTCTGGAGAATGCTGGTCATCTGCCGCTTGCATACATCACATCCACTGTACACGGTCTTCATGATGTTGCTGAACATCTTGCTGCTGAGTTGGGAGATAATGTTCCTTCTTTGCCCAAGGGGAAGTCAGCTTCTCTTTTGATGCCACCAAGTCCCATCTCGTGTGGTGGAGATTGGCCCCTATTGATGGTCATGAAAGGGATCTTTGAGGGTGGTCTTGATAATACGGGAAAGGGTGGACATGAAGAATATGAAGAAGCTGCAGACGCTGACTGGGGTGAGGATTTGGAGATTGTTGATGTGGAAAACATGGGGAATGGNTGAAAGGGATCTTTGAGGGTGGTCTTGATAATACGGGAAAGGGTGGACATGAAGAAGCTGCAGACGCTGACTGGGGTGAGGATTTGGAGATTGTTGATGTGGAAAACATGGGGAATGGAGATATCCGTATGCTGCTGGAAGGTGATGAAGTGCATGAAGAAAACGATGAGGGTGGATGGGAACTTGAGGATCTTGAACTTCCGCCCGATGCTAATACGCCAAAGATTAACACCCATGGACTTTCTTCAGTATTTACTGCCCCAACACCAGGTATGCCAACAAGCCAGATTTGGGTCCAAAAATCATCTCTCGCTGCTGAACATGCAGCAGCTGGAAATTTTGACACTGCAATGCGTTTGCTGAACCGGCAGCTAGGAATAAGGAACTTTACACCGTTGAAACAGTTATTTATTGATCTTCACATGGGCAGCAATACCTACTTACGTGCCATTTGCTCCGCTCCAGTAGTATCCATGGCGATTGAAAGGGGATGGAGTGAGTCATCAAGTCCTAATGTGCGTTGGCTGCCTACACTGGTGTTCAATTTCTCCCAGTTGGAAGAGAAGCTCAAGGCTGGGTACAAGGCCACAACTGGTGGGAAATTTACTGAAGCTTTGCAACTTTTTCTATCGATTCTGCACACAATACCTCTTATTGTGGTTGAGGCACGTAGAGAGGTGGATGAAGTCAAGGAACTGATTGTCATTGTAAAGGAGTATGTTTTAGGTTTGCAGATGGAACTTAAGAGAAGGGAGTTGAGGGACAATCCCGTTCGTCAGCAGGAGCTGGCAGCCTACTTCACCCACTGTAACCTTCAGCTGCCTCATTTGAGACTTGCTCTGTTGAATGCTATGACTGTTTGCTACAAGGCAGGTAATCTCAAACTAGCGGGTAACTTTGCTAGGCGAATCTTGGAGACAAATCCAAGCGCTGAAAACGAAGCTAGAACCGCCCGCCAAGTTCGGCAGCCTGCCGAGAGGAACATGAGAGATGTTACCCAACTGAATTATGACTTCAGAAATCCTTTTGTGGTGTGTGGGGCGACATACATTCCTATATACCGAGGACAGAAGGATGTCACATGCCCTTACTGCAGTTCACATTTTGTTCCCTCGCAGGAAGGGCAGCTTTGTCCTGTGTGTGATCTTGCAGTGGTTGGATCTGATGCGTCTGGATTATTATGTTCTCCTTCCCAGATCGGATGATCTGAAATTCGTCCCATGGATAGGTCAAGCTGGTTCATTAATCTAACAAAAAGGTGGGAGTATTAGACTGCGAGGTGTGTTTTTAATCAGATTGTAAGTTCTGTTCTATTTTTTGTTTGATTTGTACAGTCAAGTTTCAGCCCCTTCTTCTTTGTCCATTTTAGTTTTGGGGTTTACGATTTTTCTTTTTAATAAACCGTGTAAGAATTTTGACATAGGCTATACATGTGAGAATTTTAGTATATATCAGGTGAGGTATCAAATTCATTGCTCACTGTGAGTTTTGTCAATCTGGAACTTGAAGTCATGACCTTTGTTTTGTATTAATTCCGTTCCATTACTATTGACTTTAGTTTATAAACATAACGTCGTGAAGGTGTTGAGGAAGTTTAGTATTGTTGTGGCCTTTTAGAGAGGAGCACATTACAATTACTGAGAATGAATTAGAACTCGAACTCGATTTTTTTAAGATAAATCTTGGCATCGGCTTAATTAGATGAATGTGAATCTCTCTCTCTCTCTCTCTGTGTCAAGGTGGATGAAAATTCAGAGATCTGTCCTAGCCTGTAACAGAAAATAGGCCCAATAGGCTTTTCATGTCATTTCATCTTACACAGATTTATTTCCATAATTGACTCCAAAACGTATCGTTCAATGCCAAGGCCCAAACAACATTAGTCATTGGATCAACCACAGAAAGGAAGAGTCCCAAAGTAAAAACCCTCTTACATTCCTTGATTTTCAAGGGCATGTTTGTCCCAAATGACAGGTTGAAAGACATAAACTTTTATTAGGAATGATGATGTTAGGGTTGTGAAAAAGTGAATAGTAGGCAAGAGACTAGGAGTCCTGGGACCCACCCTTTAACCATATTATTATGACTGATAACGGCCAACACACCCATAATATTATGCTCAAAGAGAAACCTAGCTATATAGTCTGCAAGAATCGGTACATATAATAACAAATCGATATATTGAATTTCAATTTGTCATCATGTTCCCCACCATGGGGGGCCATTGGGACCCACTCTAAGTTAAAAGTGGACCCACTGCTTCATGTATTTGATTGGGACCCCCCCTCCCCCTCAACATCAATATCACCGTTCTTATGAAGGTGACATGAGAAACTAGTTTTCCTCCCGAGATACTACTCAACTAATGTGTGTGTATATATATATATATTTTTTTTTTATTTNACTAGTTTTCCTCCCGAGATACTACTCAACTAATGTGTGTGTATATATATATATATATATTTTATNCATGAGAAACTAGTTTTCCTCCCGAGATACTACTCAACTAATGTGTGTGTATATATATATATATTTTTTTTTTATTTTTTTTTTTGAGAAAATGTAAAACATTGTATAAGAAATTATAACCAAAATTTAAATACACGTAATCACTTGTTAATCTCTTGCATTTGTAAAATTCGAACTCTAAAAAAATAAGAAAACTCAAATTTAGGTATAGACAAGCTTAAGTTTGCCCATTATTTTACAAGTGAGATGGCTTCACATAAAAAGCTGTAAATATATGTTAGTTAACATCAGTAGTGATCAGCCAGTTTTGAAGACTGATAGTGACTACCAACCTCCTTTGATCAATAAGAAATAACAACCCTAGTGTCATTACTGATCCCTCATTCACTAACCTCGTTGAAAACAGCTCATAGAGTAGGTAATTCACTGCCATCCATGTGATTTAACAGTAGGCTTTAATTACATGGTGTATCCATTCAACACATAATAGTTTTAGGTACCCAATCTTCAATAATGGCTTAATTTTTAGCTATATATATGCAGTTGATTTATGTGTAATATTGATTATGAAAATAATAAAGTAAAAAAAATAATAAAATACGACAATTTTATGTGTCATATTATTGTTGAATAAAAAATAAAAAAAATGATACCAAAATTTAAAATCTCCATACTATTTGTAAAACGCTTCAGCACATAGAATTGGATGAATTTTTTTCATGGTAGGTAGAGATATATTCATTAAATTACATTACGCCTTGAACAAATTGAGTTATAACTTTGGAATCAATTTCGAAAACTTTAGAGGTCATAGAATTGTAATCCAACCATCTAAATCATAACGATAATTGATGTTGGCTATTTTTTCCTTACATTGCACAATAATGCAATTAAGAATGATAGACCAATTTTTTTTTGGTTTAATTAAAATATTTAATGGAATAAAAAAGACATACATAATGAAATCGTAACCATAAAATACGATGACTTAAGTGAAACGATGGTAAAATCTCGAATCGTAATGCTTACAAAAGAGTTAATATCATTCTAGAGAAATGATTGTTAGAATTTTGCAAGTCAATTTTCATTTTTAAGTAGGCTAGCTACTGGTAGTGACAATCAGTTGTAATGTGATAGAGACCAACTTTGAGGACAGAAATAAAATGGAATACGAATTCGTCATTCACTGGAGTCAGTTACCTTAAATGAAACTTCCATTATAGCATAGGTCGAAACCCAACCATACTAGGTTTCCTTTGGGAACCAAGACTTAATTAATTGAGAGAGTGAGTCCGAGAGGGAAGGTTCTTTGTTCTATTAGGCTTAGTGCTTTGCGGTCCTAACTACATTTTTTGATCTGTAAACTCCCATGCAGCCTGACTGGGGATCTTTTTCCTGTTGCTGTGTACGTAGTCGGCTGGGAGAGCTTTGTGGCCAAAACCCTAAAAAAGTTTTCCGAGTCTCATTATTATTTTTGTAAAAATGAAAAATCATTACAATTACCAATCATTTTTTCTTGAAAGTATGACACCAACTACATTTGCACATTTTCAACCGTAGAGAATAAACCTACGTGGGGTAACAAACTATTCCAATTACTTGAACTGAAATATTTAAAATATAGTATTGTAGACTTAGTTTGGATACCATACCTTTTTTTATTATTATTAAATCAATGTGGAGTAATAAGAGTTTATTATTTAGTCATTTCACTTTTTTTAATATTATGATCAATTACCAAGATATTCATTATTCTTTTTCAATATGTTATTAAAAGGTAAATTTGGTAGCATAACATTATCCCTACTGGAAAAACCTTACTGTCGTTTGCAATTTGAACTTTATAACCATTTTAGTTAAGAGTGTTCACCCTACCTTATAGGTAGAAAATATGGTCTTTCATCTTCCTATTCGATATTTTGCGGAAGAATTTTTTCTTACCTTACCATACCCAATCAAGTATAATATTCCTACCCGCATTCCGTCCAAATTAATGAGATAGAAAATTGCGTGAAACACATTTTTTTAGGTATTAATTTTTAGATCATTTTAACAATTCAATTAAGTAATATGCATCAATTTAACAACACAATAAATTAATAACACTAAAATTTAAAATAATTACAACAACAATTATAATAAAACACAAGAAAGCCCAATGCATAAACATCAATCTATCATAATTGTTATACAAATACAACAACAATTATTTTAAGTTTAAATCATATGAAACACATCAAAAATCATAACTGCTTTGATATATATATATATAT